GTTTGAGACAAAACTGGGCTACATATTGAGTTTTAGACCAGCAAGAATCTCAAATATCAATCAATCTCTCTCTCTCTCTCTCTCTCTCTCTCTCTTTCTCTCTCTCTCTCTCTCTCTCTCTCTGTCACACACACACACACACACACACACACACACATTTAGAGGTCCTAGGGTGTGGGTTAGTGGTTGAAGCTATTCAGTATTTCCTATTTTTTTAAATTTTATTATTATAAATTTCCTCAAAGTAAAACATCTGCTTTTTCCAAGGAAAAGGGTTTGATGGCCTTACGTTATACTCCGTATCCATCTGAGATTGAGGAAAAACCTTGAGTTTCGAATCATGGAGCATGTTTAGCTTCCAGAATTGAGTTCTTCACAGTGTGACATCATCACTCAGTTTGATGCTATCAATACCCTGGAGTGACATGTAAGCCCCAACAGGCGGCCTCAACTTCTCACATCTCCCTTTGACATAGCTGCATGCATGAGCTCTGGGCCGGCCGCTGTTCCTCTGTGTTGGTGAGTGATCTGTGCTCATCTGGGGACAGGCTCTGAAGAGCTGTTTTATAGTGGCCCAGCCTCCAGCCAGTCGTCTCATTTGGCTAGTCTCCACCTTTATTCAGCCTGTGGCTAGACTTCGCTCCTTCTGAGGACAGCAAGTGAGCTTGAAACCCTGTGTTGCTAATACTGGGGTAGGAAGTACGGTCTTCCTAAGCTCAAGTCCATCCTCACCAAAATGAAAGCTGCATCACCCCACTGATACGTTCATTCCCTTAATTCATACGAGAAAAGAACAAATCCAAGAATAACAAAACTGTCTTCGTTCAGTCTGGCTGCTCTAAAACTAATACCACAGATGGGTTGGCTTCAGCAACAAAGATCCATTTCTCTGCATTCTGGAGACAGGAAAGTCCACCAGCAAGGTGCCAACAGCTAGGGGTCTCCTGGGGCCTGTGTCCTGGTTCACAGTGTCCTCTTGCTGCATCCTCATGTGGCAGGAGGGAGGATCTCTGTTATAAAGCCACGCACAAATCCTAGACAGAAGGTCTCGATTCCATATCCTAATGGCCTCCCGAAGGCCCCACTTCCTAGGATGCCATCACATAAGAAGTTAGCATTTCAATGTAGGAATTTGGGAGAAACACCAACATTCATCCCAGAATAAAAATACCTTGTCAAATATTGTCAGAAGTTGTTGTTATTCAGAATTTCTATGTATTAGTTCTTCCTTTCTGGAAATAAACCCCCCTTCATAATATAGTTTTATCACTTTTTCTTCTCACGTTGATAGGTTCCCAAGAATAAGTATAAAGCTACCCATGTATAAATAAGTAGAGGTAGGCTTATTTCCCTCAACGTGGGGGAGGTTAGACTTGCTGCTGATGCCCTCTGGAGTATACATGGAAGTTCGCTCACATTGTAGAGGGTCAGGGCAAGCTGCAGCAGCCAGTAGCCTCCTGCACTGCGTGATGGTCTGTCTTGGATCTTCTTCTCAGCCCTGTCCCATGATTGCTCTTTCCCTTTGCTTGGGGATATCTCCACATTCTCAGGAAGGGTGTTCCTTGGATTTGTTCCTAAGTAAAACTCTCTCCTCTAAACCTCTGAGAGGAATCTGGGAAAGAGCAGAAAGGCCAGAAGCTGAAGGGGTCATTTTTATGCAGGTGCTTTCTGGGGCCCATCACAGACCCGCGTCTTAGGTGGCCTGATGTTCTCTGCACATCCGGCCCTACAGTTCCTAGCTGGTTCCAAGCAGTTCCACCAAAACAAAAATGACAACATGTGTGTGCTGCGATACTTGCCGTACAAACCCCAGCTTCCGGTTTATTTCCCTCTAAAATCGTATCAGATTTCATTGTGTGGGGCACCTGCTGTGATTTTTATCAGGGGTTTCCTTGCCACGGGTCATGTAAACGTAATACAAAAGATTTCTATAAAGCGGCCAGTCTCCGGGTTCTTAGAAGATGGCTGTTGTGATTTTACTGGAGTGTGTTCTGTGAACATGCTGTCTGTTTGACCAGCTCGTGCTCTAAATTTAAGTGAGATTTTAGGAAGGCCCCGGTCCCATTGCTGCTATGAAGAATTCTACTTACCCAAAATGCCTTCTTCCTCAGGAAGCCTCCTCCCTCTCGTCTGCCTCCTCTACCTCTCCCTCCTCACCCCCGGCTTTCTTACAAACCAAATAAAGTACCATCTCCTTCCCCTTGGCCTACAGCTGCACACCTTGCCTTGATCACTAGGTAGCTAGCCTGGGTGTTCATCTTAGGACATTCACGGGGCAGTCAAAGCTATTGGATGCAGAAGTCGATGTTGGGTTGTCATTAATTATCCGTTCCTTATTTTCTTTTCTAATAAGAGAAAAACACAGGAACATTTTCTATCTTCTATTTTCTATGGAGAGTACCCAAGATTCCTGAAAAGTTTAGAGGCAGCAGAAAAACATCCTCGGGGTCACAGGAGTGAGCCATTTTACCTTCCCACAAGGAGTTCTATTGTCACTTACAATTATCTTCTCCGTGGCCTCCCCATCACAGACTTCAGGCGCTAGAAGAAGCTGGAGATAGAAATTAAGTTATACTACAGCATGCTATAGTATAAGCAGACGGAGTAGTTAAGGGACCTGAAAGATGGAAGCACTCTTGTTACCTGGAGGACTCGGGGAAAGTGGGCTCATGAGAATGTTTTTTTTTTTTTTTAGTTTATTTATTCATTGTTTTTAGAATAAGAAAACCTTGACCTTGTACGTAGGCTTAAATAGCCCCGGGGGCTGGGAACGCCGCTAAGGGAAAGAATGAAACGCACAGATGTTTATGAGTCAGCTTTTAAGCCGGAGGAGAGAAGGCAAGATGTGGAATAGCCTCTGGGGAAGAGAGGTGGACGTTTCTGTCTTCCTGCTGTGCTGGTTTGCCATCTACTGCTGTGATAAAACACTGACCAGAACCCGCATGGGGTGGGAAGCGTACGTCTTACAGGTTAGAGTCTCTCATCAAGGAAATCAGGGCAGAGGCTGCGGCAGGAGCCTGGAAGCAGGAACTGACGCAGAGACCGCACAGGAATGCTGCTTCCTGGCGTGCTCTCTACGGCTTACTCGGCTGGCTTTCGTAATGCAACCCAGGACCACCACCCAGGAGTGGCACTGACCTACAGGCATGCTCAAAGGCCAATCTGATGGAGGCCGTTCTTCAGTTGAGGGTCCCTCTCTCCGGGTGACTCTAGTTTGTGTTGACAAGAACTAACCAGTGGGAGGACGTGCAGAGATGACCGTCCACACTAGTGGGAGCCCATGAACTGTGTGTGGACTGGTGCCGGTGGAGCCCCCATGGGACTGGACTGGGCCCTCTGGATACGGAAGACGCTTTGTTTGGCTCGAACTGTTTGGGGGACACCCAGGCAGGGGGATCCGGATCTGCCTGTGGTCTATGGGCAGGCTTTTGGGAGCCCAGTGCCTGTGGTGTGACGCCTTGCGCAGCCTTGGTGCAGTGGGAAGGGGCGCGGACCTGCCTAGGCTCAGTGAGCTGGGCTCTGCTGACTCCCCATGGGAGACCTCGATTGGGGGGATGTGGGGAATGCAAGGTGGCTTGGGAAAGAAGGCTGGGGGGTGGGAGAAGAGAGGAGGGGGGATCTGTGGATAGTATGTGGGGTGAGTAGAAAATTTCTTAATAAAGAAAAATGGGGAAAAAAAATTAAAAAAAAAAAAAAAAAACTAACCAGCACTGTAAAGTGGTGTCTGTTGTGGCAAAGTTGTGAGGTCGCAAAGAGGAGAAAATCAGGACAAGAGGGTCAGGCAGGATTTCCTGTAAGCACTGGCCTTGAATGCTTTCCTTGAGTACATGGGTGTGCAAGATGCTGGAGTCCCGGGAAAGGGGACTTAGGAGGAGAATCACCATAGGGAAAAGTCAACCCCACTTTTCCCTTATCGGCAAGCAACTCGAACTATGACCTTTCCTCTGTCAGAAAAACTTCCAAGTACATCATGTATATTTGTCTCCACAAACTGCCTTAACTTCAGAACATCTCTGATGCCCCTTTTTAAAGATTTATTTATTTATTTTATATATACATGAGTGCTCTATCTGCGTGGGTGCCTGCACACCAGAAGAAGGCATCTGATCTCACTACAGATGGTTGGGAGCCACCATGTGGTTGCTGGGAATTGAACTCAGGACCTCTGGAAGAGCAGTCAGTGCTCTTAACCTCTGAGCCATCTCTCCAGCCCGCCCCCGATGCCCCCTTTTTATCCAGCTTACAAATAGCAGCAGGCAGAATGCAGCACAGCCCTTGTATTGTTCTGCCCTATACAGTCTTGGATCTTTTTTCTAACCTAGCTTCTCCTTCACATATTTTCACTTTCACAAGCCACTAAGTTTATATGTTTAAACATTTCCCCTTCCAGTAGCCAAAGAGAAAGCAGAGTGGCAGCTAATACAGTAATAAATATAAATATAGCCACAGGAGATAAGCTTTGATGCAATGCGGCCATAAAGTACAGCTCCCAGGCTTGGAGGAAATGCAAGGACGTTTCATAAATAAGAGAATTTTTAAAACAGCCCCAGCAGTAAATAAGGATAAAATATAACTCATAACTAGCGGCACCCAGCCAGCAACAGAGCACCTTGTACAGGGACACTGTGAACTAAAATAATGGGAGTTCGCAGATTGGTGTTGGTGTAACCTCGCACCCTAGGTGGGCTGCTGAGAAAGAAGTCACTGGGCTGAGTTTTTTCACCCCACCTGAAATGTGGCCGCTTACACCTCCTGACACCTCTTGATTTGCTGAAGGCCTTTGACAAGTCGCCAAGGAAGCATAGAGTACTGATGCCACAAATGAGAGAGTTTTCAGCCAATCTGAAGGTGTCAGAGAGGGCCTTAGAGGAGGAAAGTAGGACACAGGCGATGCTCACCCAGCCTGGGGAGCACGGGCATCCCACAGGGCCAGGGATGGTTTCTTCGTGACTCACAGCTGATCCCCCCAAAGAAATCCGAAGTCTTGGGGGGGGGGGGTTCTTTTGTAGGTTTTGTTTCAGGCTTTCAGCTCAGGTATCACTGGAGCAACACACACACACACACACACACACACACACACACACACACACAAAATGGCTGTTTATCTTTATTTGAAACTCTATTCTCTGTCTCTGGCCCCACCCCTGTGTGTGTGTGTGTGTGTGTGTGTGTGTGTGTGTGTGTGTGTGTGTGTGTAATAATGGGAAATAGACTGTTGCCGATGGAATGCTGTCGAATTTATCAGTGCTGTCATTAGATAAGATGTATTTCTGAGTGTGTGATACTGTAAGCTCTATACAGGTTGTGGGCAGGGGTTCAGCCCTGGACACCCCGCAGGAGGCGTTGGGGGCTTTGTTAACACAGGCTTCGTTGCACTGGGCAGCTTGGGAGCCTGGCAGGTCAGCTTGCTTTGGCAGGAAAGACACTGTAGGGACAGAGACATGCAGGTCAAGCCTGTGGAAGAAGCTCTGGGCCAAGGCTCCAACTGTGGGAAGGTCAAGTTCCTCAGGCTCCAACTGTGGGAAGGTCGGACACCATTTAAGGGGTTGGACTTCAGTGGGTGGATCGCTGGGAGCCCTGGAAAGATGGTAGAGCGAGAAGAGACGTGGTGTGTGCTTTACCTCTGCTTTATAAATGGTAGATGAAGGGCATTGAGGGCTCATGGGAAACGGCAGAAAGAATGCTGTGGCCTTGAACCTGCTCCCTGTGCTACCTGGCGCTCCTGGCATTCGGTTCTTTCTGATGGAGTGTGCAGAGAAAGGCAAGCCAGAACAGAAATTTAACTCTGAGCTGACTGTACTTTGCAAATGCACTCTTGAGCCAGGAACTTGAGCACTCTGTCTTCACACTGACATAGAGTAGTGTCTCTACACATTGTGTTAACTTCAATGTCTCGTCTAAGCACAGAGCCCTTAAAGCAGCCCAGTGCGCAGCACATGCCAGGTAGTTTATTCTTGTTTTTATTTTTCACACGTTCATTGGTTTATTTATCCACCTACTCACTGTGAATTTGCCTTTAAAACAATCTGGAGTAATATGCTTTAGACTGCCATTAGTAAGCTTTACTGGCAGAATTTTATAGACTTTTACACTTCCTTTTCTTAAGTCCTCTTGGACCAAATACTTGCCCCCTGTTATAAAGTGTAACAATCAAACTGGAAGGTTTTACTCCTGGGAGTGTTGGGCAGTCTTACTGTACAGTATGACATGGTTTATCATCCAGATAAACAGATTCTAAAATGCTAGGATCTAGTGTCATCCGCACTTGAATACAAATACAAAAAACACTTTCAAATATCTCCAATGCGAAATTTTAATCTCCTTATTGCTTCCCTCACCATGAAATAACTATGGAATGCCTGGGGGGCCACACCCTAAAATTGGAGGAATAAAGTGTCAATTACTTTTCTCATTCGTGTGACCAGATGCCCAATAAGAACAACTTGAGATGAGAAAGGGTTCATTTTGCTCACAGTTTCCCGGGTTTAGTTCATTCTATGAGCCGGGTGTAGAGGACCAGCTAACGGCACAGTGGGTGGGGAGCAGAGGAAAGCAAATATTGGAACAGACCCAGATAAGATGGCACCCAGGCCCCACGCCTGGTGATACTTCTAACAGGTGCCACCTCTTTCGCTTAAGCACATTCCAGCCGCGCCACCACGCTATGACCCTGTCAAGGCGTGAATCTGTTTATTAGTTCAGAGTGCTCGGGATCGGCTTGTCTCTGGAAACAGTCACAGCCACACTCAGGTGTCTCTTAGTCTAATGGTATTAACAGTCCAAATAAGCCATCACAAGGAACTCTGTTTTGAATATAAGGAACACAAAGTATTCTATAAGCATATTGTGTGTGACTGTAGTTTATTATATAAATAACTGTAGATTTTAAGTTTAAGTTCTGTTTCCTTGTGTAGAATGAGTGTTGTTTTTTCAGTGCCAGGGCTCTTTAGAACAGGAACTGGATACTGGATGGATCCATTATGTTGTAAGATGTGGTGATACATTGTGTACCCTAATAAACTTGCAGAGGAGCAGAGGACAGAGCCAGCCACTAGATTAGACATAGAGGTCAGGCAGTGGCACACACCTTTAATCCTATCACTCAAGAGGCAGAGATCCACCTGGATCTCTCTGAGTTCAAGGCCACACTGGGCTACATGAGATTGATCCAGTATAGGAGAGAAACAGAACCAGGCAGTGGTGGCACACATTTTTAATCCCAGCACTTGAGATCTCATGCCTTTGCTTGGGAAGCACACATGCCTTTAATCCCAGAAAGTGATGTCTGGGCAGAAAAAGGTATATAAGGCGTGAGGAAACAGGAACTCTCTCTTTTGGCTGAGGATTTATAGAGGTAAGAACTAGTGGCTGGCTGTTCTGCTTCTCCGATCCTCAGCCAAGTTTATTAGGGTACACAATATATCACCACAGTAAGAAGTGTCTTTAGGATTTGGGGAGGAAAACTAGGTATACGAAATGATAATTTTATGTGGGAGGGTTGTTGTTGTTGTTGTTGTTGTTGTTGTTTTCCTTTTGAGGAGCTGGGCAGGTGGTCCTTGGTGAAGGACACATGCACCTGTTCTTATGCAATTTAAATGATAAAGCTTTCCCTGATAACTAAAGATTTAGGAGTGAACTTTTACGTGATGGAAAGGCTCCTTCTATTGCACCCATCATAATTTCCAAGCTGCATGTCTCCATCCCCCACTAAAATACAGCATCGTGGAACCATGATTGAAGCCACAGAAGCCAATGCGTGAAGTTACAGGAGATTACAAAGGCTGCATTTCCTCTCTAGGCGCCTAGGCATTAAATTTCAATAGCACTGAGCACTCTCAAGCGAACACTCATAAATTGTTTAAATTATATTCCCCAACTTTTCCCCTTGGTTCACGGCAAACCAATTTTGACTAGTTCATAAATTACATCGGTGGTGTTCTTTTTTCTTAAGAAGAGAATTTACTGAAAATGCATTTGCAGTGTTGTGACTGTGTGGTTAGTGTAACGAACAGCAGAGTCACGGAGGAATAGGTGGCCTGTGGTCCAGTCCCTGCCCTGCTGTGGACAGGTGTATGACTTCCACAGAATTTAACTGACAACCTTCTCAGTTGTCCTCTAGAAGGGCTGTTTGTGAGAACTGAGTGAATGAAGGTGTGTGAACGCTGTTTGATTTTTTTTAAAAAAAGCACTAAGCATAGCTCGATTTAGTCACTGAACATCTTGCGGACATTGTAGTCAAACAAGTGGCATGAATGTTGACAGCCTTGGTTGATGTTTCAGGGAACCAGGGAAACTCTCAGTCGGCACTGCACCACCCTTGGAGATGCCCTGCGGAAGGAAAACGATTTTGCGCTTATAATTGATGGGAAGACCCTCAAGTATGCCTTAACCTTCGGAGTCCGGCAGTACTTCCTGGACTTGGCTTTGTCCTGCAAAGCTGTCATTTGCTGCAGGTAGGTTCTCCCCAATTGCAATTGACTTTATCTTAATGGTATCTTGCAATGATCTTACTTCAACTGTATGTATATGTGAGGCAAGCAAGCCTGTGCACACGTGTGCACGTACCCAGGGAGGCCACAGGTACTGGTTCCCCTGAAGCTGGAATTAAAGGCAACTGAGTGCTAGGAACAGAGAGCTTGGGTCTCTGGAAAAAAGTAGAATGATGCCTCTTAACTGCTGAGCTCTCTCTCTCTCCAGCTTCATCTTATGTTTTTAATTTTTTAAAGTTCCAAACTGTTTTTTTTTAATCTAGAAATTACAAATGTTACGTTAGTTCATTCATTCAGTAGAGTCCCAGGGTTCACAGACTGTGATGGATTTGTAGCAGAGTTTTGGGAAGTGAGTCCTGACAACCAGTATTGAATGCTACTCATAATTTGAAGCCACCAGCTCTTTGCCATTATATGTCTATAACATCAGTCGATGGCGCCGGGTGGTGGTGGTGCACACCTTTAATCCCAGCACTTGGCAGACAGAGGCAGGTGGATCTCAGTGAGTTTGAGGCCAGCCTGGACTACAAAGTGAGTTCCAGGACAGCCAGGACTATTACAGAGAAACCCTGTCTCAGGTAAAAAAATAAAAAATAAAAAAATAAAAATTCAGTCAATGGCAATCAAGTAAATGGCACATGCCAATCATCCCAGCTACTTAGGAGGCAGCAGCCAAAATGTAGCAAGCTTAAGGTCTGCTTGAGCAATTTAGAGAAACTCTATACCAAAATAAATAAGTAAACAAACTTTCAAGAGAGCTATGAACATAGCTCACTGGGTTTTTGCCTATGTGTGCAACACTCTGGATTCAAACCCCCCGTACTGAAAAAGACCATGGCAGAGCCAGAGCCGTAGCTAGTGATCGAGTGAACTCCTTGGCCTTGGCTTTCATCTTCAGCACCAAAGTGGGGTGTGAATTATTTATCTGCATTTCCATCTTGGCTCGTTTATGGAAAGACCCTGTTGTCTCTATTTAGATCACTGGTCCAACTGCTAGAATTTATTTTGTGGGGCTAGCAAGATGGGAGGTACAATCTGAGTCATTCTCCAAATCGCTGAATATTTTTCCGATGGCTGTTTATTTACCCTAAGACTCTGGCCTACTAACTTATAAAATTGCTCATATCCTAGATTTAAATCTGTCTCTGAGTTACGACAGCCTGATGCATAAAAGAGCCCTTGTGTACACCACTTAGCTCGAGGCGGTCTGGTTTCTTGTCAGGGGTATTCTAGCCTCCTGCATAGCATTGCCCAGGCTCTTCTCTTCAGGTCACCTCAGCTAAGGATTTTCCTCTGCCATCCACTGACTGAATCTTACCAGCTGGTCACAGTGGGTCCAGGGCCAGTACTTCCTCGACTCACTTTCTCTTCTGGGGAGACAAAACATGCGTGGGACTTCTCGAGAATCCCTCCCCAGCCTGTGTGCTTGCCATGACCCTTAGCTCTCTTGTCTTTGCTCTAACTACTTTTAAAAGCTCTATTTTGCTAGTCAAGGAAAGTTATTCCTTTGAAACCATTTGTGTGTCCACTTATCTACTTAATATGTATTCTTTGAATTTCTATTGAAATTTACTTCCTGGAATGTATACAGAGCAGACCCTGTAAGGATCACAGATGAGCATCATTTTGACCTACAAAAATTGTGTTATCCTCAGAGACTTAAGACTTACCCGTTATTTTCAGGCATGTGATTATTTTAGCTACAGAATCAATTCTCTGTGGTACATTCCTGCTATGGCTGAGATTCTGGAGTGATCTATCATTGTAGATGTCCACTGTTCCTCACAGTCATCTTCTTTGTTTATCACAAAGATGGGAATTATCCTCTACTCTGGTTTCTGCTTGGGTATCTTCACACTTTGTCCAAGCTGGGGTTCCAGTTACTTTTCTTGGTCTCTTGCTAATGTCTTGACAAGGGCTTACTTAGTGCTCAGCTCTCCTGCTCTTCCATCAGGATAATTTTGTGCTGCATTTAGCCATTTAGTCACTAATGGGATCGTGAGGATCCACAGACGCTTGCTCAAAAAGCCCGGGAGTGTTATGACTGCTGGCTCCTACTCAGACCAGAAAAAACCAGCCAACAGCGATGTTTAGATAAAGCAGCCAGTTGGCTTGAGCTAGCCTCTGTGCCGTTCCTACTGTGTGCTGGGCACAGGTATTGCATTTACCAGGACAAGTATGACTTGATAACATGCTCTCCTTGCTGTTGCTGTCCACTCTACTCTAAGCAGAATCAACTGGTTTGGAAGATGCAGGAGGCCATTTTTTTCTTGAGGCAGTCATGGCGGGAGAGCTTAACACGGTACCTCCCACCATTCTTCAAAAAGACCAACCACAGAATTAAACAATAGCAGAGGGACACCAGAAAGCAGAGTCAAGGGAGAGGAAATATGTTCTGCGCTTGTGAAATTCTCTCTGAAGATCCTTGTCCTGCAGGATTATAAGTCATGGGGACCTCAGAGCTCTTCCAGGCCGGGGATCCTGGGAGGGTCTCAGCCGCCATGCACATGAAGCTTAGTGCTGACACAGTTTATAAAGATGTGTGTGGCTGCTTCCTCCCTCTTGGCTGCCTCTGTTTTATAGATGTTTGAGGGCCTTGAATGGCAGACACTTGGTTCTCCTCAGGATTTTGTTGTTGTTTTAATAAAACATCTTTCTTCGGCTTTTTTTTTTTTTATTCTAATTACCTTCCTACCCTTTTCCCTAAAGAGAAGCTTCTGGCCCGGCTCTGCGGCTGGTCTAAACCCATAATTACGTCAGTGCCACAGCCGGATTAATGTCTGTGCACCTTCTTGGCCTGGTGCCTCTTCACATTACACCACTGGCACAGATCATGTTTTTCTCATTCCACATTCTGACCTCCGAGTGTAATGATGATGTTCCTATCACAAGTCGGGAATGTGGAGTGAGCCTGTGTATGGTCCTTGGAGAATGAACCCCAGGGTCACCCCTCATTTCTCACATGATGATGATCTCCCAGCCTCGGGAAACTCTAGATTTCATTCCATTAGAAGAGTGATGCTCACATAAATATTGACTATTATTTCAAAATACTGTATAATACTGTTTCCCAAGTTCCTTCGTGTTCATGCTAACCCTTTGAGGTTTTCCCTCAAATTGAGACTCCTTTCCAACCTACTGCTTGTCTGTCCACACACATGAAGATAATACAGAATGGGACCATCCTCTACTGCCCACTGGAACAGCAAGGAAAGCCTTCCCGGAACAGATAATGAGTCTCCCAATCACTCGGTCCTCACGATTGCATCCGCCTTCTTCTGACATCAGCACCCAGGGCGGGAAGATGAATTTTTAGTGTTTGCCTAATCGCCACGGTTACAAAGATGAGCTTTTGCTCCCCAGAGCCTCCTGCTGAATTGAAAGAAGCTGCTGGCCTCTGTCAGGAGTCATTACATCTCTCCCTCACCACTGTGTTCTGAGGGGACTATTCATAGACAGAACTAATTCCCCCAACCCAAAATTATTCAAGGCATTTGAGTCTGGGTTTTGGTTTACAGAGTATGGGCTACATGTTATACCTTAAGAAAAAAATACACACACACACACACACACACATCTAAATCAAAACAGTAGAACATAGTCTTGTTTTTATCTGCCTAACAAGCACTGTGTTCACAGACACCACACAGCTTTTGTGTTTACTGTTGGGCAGCTTACCTCCAGAACCCAGATCACCTAACAAGAAGCACGCCCCCACCTCCAAGAGCTTCTTGCTATCAACATGTCAACATAAGCATCCCTTTCCTGTACTTCTTCCCTTTTATTCACTTGCCCGAGTCCACTGCTTCTTACTTGGGATGATCACTAGTATATTGGTTGTCCAGGTGGTTGTTTAATTGGCTGGTCTATGAGACAGGGTCTCATGTATTCCAGGGCTAGCCTTGAGCTCACTATGTACCCTAGGCTAGCCTTGAATTCCTGGTCCTCTTCCCTCCTCCTCCCAAGTCCTAGAATTACAGACATGCACCAGCATGCCCTTTCAGCTGCTGTTGAAGAACAGAAGAAAGTTCTGTTCACCTCCTCCACTGGAAACACACATGCTTAATGTACGACAGTGCGGACCATTATCACGGTTTCACAGATGGCCTGCAACACCTTAAGGAAAACAAGCTTTGTGGGAACTGCTAAAATCAAGAGCTATCCTGACATTCTAGAATCTAGATGAATAATTCCTGACTTTCTAGAATCTAGATGAATAATTCCTGACTTCAGTTGCTAATACTTTTGCCCGAAGCCTTCCCATTTTTATATTAGATAATGCTGGTTTGGGGGGCCAGGTTTGGTTGGTTGGTTGGTCAGTTGGGTTTTTGGTTTTTCAAGATAGGGTTTCCCTGTGTAGCCCTGGCTATCCTAGAACTCTCTCTGTAGACCAGGTTGGCCTCTAACTCAGAGATCCGCCTGCCTCTGCCTCCTGAGTACTGAGAGTGCCCGGAACATATGTTGTTTTGACTGGGGATTCAGGAAACGTGTTCTAGCTCTACCTCTCTGGCACCTTAGACACCAAATGAAATCATTCTCTGTGGTCGTATTGTGTTCCCCAAAATATTGTGTACTCTAATAAATTTATCTGGGGTCAGAGAACAGACAGCCACTAAATACAAAGGCTAGAAAATGGTGGCACTCACACCTTTAATCCTAGCATTCCAGAGATAGAAATCCCTCTGGATCTCTGTAAGTTCAAGGCCACACTGGAAATAGCCAAGCATGGTGACACACACCTTTAATCCCAGAAAGCCAGCCTTTAATCTCAGGGAGTGGTGGTAGAAAGCAGAAAGATATATAAGGCGTGAGGCGTGAGGACCAAAAACTAGAAGAATTTGGGCTGGTTAAGCATTAAGGCTTTTGAGCAGCAATTCAGCTGAGACCCATTCCGGATGAGGACTCAGAAGCCTCCAGTCTGAGGAGACAAGACCAGCTGAGGATCCGTCGAGGTGAGATAGATG